CTCAACAGATAGTTATTTCGAATGCTTAGATTTCGAGACATGCCACATAGCGAACTTTACGGCTTTTCTCAAAATAACAACGCGTTAGTCTTAGGCGCGTATTTAATAATGTTATTTTCCTAAACTCGGGTGCACATTTATGTGACCCAAATCCAAATCTCAACGAAGTTGGAACATATCAAAAATTGCGGGTACATTTATGTGGCGCAATCCGAGATGCATTCTCACGACGTTGCAATTCTTTGAATAAATAATAACAAAGCGGTAAACAGTTAAAATTTGCACGTAGGTTCATAATTGTATAAAATCAGATAATCAAGCCGAATATGACAGTTGAGCGACCGTGCTAGAACCACGGAACTCGGGAATGCCTAACACCTTCTCCCGGGTTAACAGAATTCCTTATCCGAATTTCTGGTGCGCAGACTGTTAAACAGAGTCATTCTTTTCCTCGATTCGAGATTCAACCGGTGACTTGGGACACCATAAATCTCCCAAGTGGCGTTTCTGAAATAAATAAATAAATTCCGTTTCGATTGTCCCTTAATTGAAAAAACTCCCTTCCGCGCCCCTTTGCGGTGACGCGGGGTAAAAAGGAGGTGTGACACATGCTATGCTTCTTTTAGGACTACTTTTTAATTTTCAAGAGCTGGTTGTTATATTTTTCCATAAAAGAAAGAAAAATACTTTTACTCATTGTATTTTTCATATAATTATCAAATATCTAAATATTACTATTTGAATAATTGTCACATTGTATTTGACTTCACTACAACGATTTTCAAATTGAACGTAAAGATAGAAAAAGTGAAAAGTGCCAAAGATATATGTGGACGAGATAGTAATTGATAAATTATTAGGATCTAGAAAGAGTCATGGCTATTTCTTCAAAAATTAACTAAAATAAAACGGTCATACAATGGCTACTTTTTAAATTTTTCTTTTTGGTACTGTACTTATAATTCAAAGAATCAAAGTGATACGAGATTTGACAGTACTTTAAACTGTGTGCCGGTGATGGACCCCATTTTCCTAAAATTCTTAATTTGTGATGTCAATATAGAAATACTTTTTAACGCTGTAAAGCAAGATTACATAATTTCAACAAAAAATAATAATTAAGTTTCTGAATATTTTAATTGTATACACCAGATTTATGTCTATTATTAGTAGAATGAATTAACTCGCGCTTCCTACAATTTTCTCTTTTGACAATAATCGCAATATAATTTGTATTCTTCCACATTCCAGCCAGAGAATAGGTAATATTTAGTCTTTACGGGATAAATAAAGTATTATATTAGAGACAAAAAATATAGGATTGTTTTGTGTTTAATAGACACGTTCTTTTGACCCAATCAACGTGTATCTAAAATATTGGTAGAAAAGTACTAAACTATGTTTATAACAAGAAAAAAAAAATCATGATTTAAGAAGTAGTAGTAGAAAAAATATCACGATTTTAAAGAAATAAAAGAAAAAAAGACAAAGGTTGATAGTGTAAGGAAAAATAGCCATTTTTCATAAATTTATCTTCTTTTAAGCGTATTTTATTTTTATTTAGGAAAATAAACAATATATTTGGGAAAAATCTTGTTGGTTAGCAGTTTTTTTCTGTTGCTCAACTTCAATTTCAAGAAGATCCCTCCAAACTTTTTTTTTTTTTTTTGGTCAGCAAAAATTAGAACACAAACCTATATTTCCTACATAATTCTTTTGTGATAATGGTAGATAAGGTTGATCCGTTGAAAGAGAGGGAATTAACATTCAGTTCATTTCTTTCTTCGCAGTCTTTGCTATTCCATTTGCAATTCATTTCACACCTAATTTATGAAGAAAATAATTCCATATGATCAGTTACAATTTGAATGGAAAAAATGACTTTATAATCATCTCATTATTTTATTTACAAGTATCATATGTTTTACCGATTTCATGTAAAAATAGTTATACAACTAATAAATCACTCCCCTTGCGAAAGACATATGACACATTATCCCTGTTAGAGACGACAACTCGTTGTACAAAGAATTCCGGTGTGGGGAAGGATTGCACTACAAAGGGTTTGATATAGACGTCTACCCTAATGCAAGTATTAGTAGCTGCTTCTATAACTCGAATTCGCGACCTATAAGTCACACGTAGTCCTTTTTTGAAGGGGTTCATGCCAAAAGGTGAGAACCTCTATGTCTCAGCTATTATGAGTAATTCATGAATATAACGCGAGTCTTTGATCCATGTATGTCTTGTTGCTCCAGTTCATGAACACGTTTTCAAGATGACAAAATTAGGTATGTAAATGCGTTTAACTTATACAAAATTTGGACATATACGTAACAGAAATTGCATATCTTCTAGAACAGTGGAATCATTCATCACGTATTTTTGCTCTCTTCAGCTATTGAAGTAAAGATTTCTCAAACAAAAAAAAAGTGAAAGGAAAAGATTTAAAGCATTAATTATTAGACTTGAAATACTTTAACCTTTTATTTTTATTCGATAATATAGGTCAATATATGCACATTTCGATTGTTTTATTGATAGCTATCGTTCACGAGCACAAGTACTGAATATCTTTGCCTAAGCTTATTGCAAACATGAAGCGGAGTGGAATTAGGTAAGCTATTATGACAACAAAACATTTTAAAAAGGTAATATTTTTTTTCATTCCATTGTTCTTTTTACAAATTAAAAGAAAAGAATTAGTTAAAGTCGTTATATTAAAGCGCCGTGTAGTGGAAAGCATTGAATAAATAATCAAAAGATCTAACGTTGGTCTTTAACGCCAGTCCAACTTTAGGAACTTTTTCCTTTCGTGGGATCTTGGTGTTTTTCTCTTTCTTAAGCAAGTCAATTAACGTGTGGCGTTATTAATCATTAGATTAAATGAGATTCCCTTCCTTTTTTCATTTTTCTTTTTTAATAGTAACTTTTGCATATTAATTTTAACAATTTTATTGGATCGATCTCTATCGCCTTCTATTAGCACATGTATTTAACTACAAATTGTGTCCATTAAAGTTTTAATAAATAAAAAGAAAGTACCTACTATATTTTTTATTGAGATAATCCTTCATTTTTAACGTATTTTTTCTTGATAATATATATATATATATATATATATATATATATATATATATATATATATATATATATATATAATGATGATGAAATACTATAGTTCTCCCTTTATCTGAACCTATTTCCTTTTTGGTCCATTTCAAAAAGAATAATTTATTTTTAAATTTGGCAATAATTTAGCTTAAACTTACAATTCTACCATTAATGAAAAGCTTTTATAACCACACAAATATTTTGGGGCCCCTTTTAACTTGTTTAAGACTACAAATTTTAAATTTTTTTATTTTTTCTTAAATTCCGTATTCATTCAATGAGGTTCACATAAATTGAAACGGATGAAGTAGTATTGTTTATTTGTCTTGGAAATTGGGTCCTTGACCTATATTACCGCTATCCTTAAACCGCCCTACCCCAAAAATAAATGTGTAAAAGTCATACTCTTTGGAGAAAGGATTTAAAATAGTCCCTTAAGTTTGGACTTTGGATCAGAATCATCTTATTTTTAACCTTAAGCACTGACAGTCCTCTAACTCTATAAAATGAGTGTAGAATTCATCCAACTCTGACTAATCTGCTAAAAATGAATGCGTGATACACACAAATGTATACACAAAGAAAATCTAAGTTAATATTACGAAAATACTACATACTTCTAATATATATATATATATATAATAGTTTTGTGGAACTAGCTTGTTAAAAGTCAATATTTTTTTTAATTTTAAAACAAAATAATTTTATCATTATCTTTTAAAGACGTCTTAGCATATTTTTGGGAATGAAACATGCTTTGTATGTGGGTGACACGTTGTTTCTTACGATAACGTTAAAATTCTACAAATTTACATAGTTAGAACGTTGATAATCTTCAAACAAGAATAAGGACGATTCGAATCAGGATAAAATATATTCGATGATCAAGCCGTTTTGTTTTGTTATGGGAATGAGATATTCTTAGCAAGTGAACAACTAATATGTTAATCTTTACGCCTCAATTAAAGCTAAAATAATCCAATTTAATATGATTGAAACGCTATTTTTTTTTTCAAGAATAAAGACAATTGAATCGTGGCAGTAACATATTAGATGACCAAACCTTTTTTGTCGGAATATAAACATTACACATTGGCAACACGTTAATTTTTACGATTCAATTAAGACAAATTATAAAATTCAAATGCAAAATTTAAAAGGTGTTATTGGCTCGTGTCTAGAAAAACCAATATTTCAAGACAAAGCCGCATTTAAAGTTTGTCATTTTCTTTCAAAGATGTCATATTGCGTTTAGGATAGAAGTATACGAAGAGTTGAAGATTCACCTTTTCTTTTTTGTTTTGAAAATAAAATTATACGTTTTGCACGTGATTTTCGTTAATTTTTAAGTCTCTTAAATTAGGACATAAGGTATACAGAAAGTAAAAAATCTATCTATTTTTTTTTTTGGGTTTTAAGAATGTAACATACTTCGCCGATTTTCACAAACTTTTAAAGATTAATTAGAGTTAGATTAAAGGTTCTCCAATTTTTCATAGTTGAAGGACTATTAATCTTTCTCAAGATAAATGACAAAGATGAGTTTAAATCGAAACTCAAACTTAAGGGGCTATTTTGGTTATTTTCTCCTCATAATATTTATTCACAAGTCCTTTTCATGTTTTCCCTTTGCTTTGTTTCATTTTCAATGTCTTTTTTGTTCAATCTTCAATCCGCAAATAGACAATTACCTCGTAATTCAAGGACAAAAGTTGTTACTCATATTCAGATCCACTTTTGTCTTTTCCCATAATTACAACATACTTCTGTGCCCTCCCACGTGTAATAAACACCCAGTCTTCGGTGCCCCGATACTAAACCCGAAACCGACCCGAAAAGAACCGGCTGGGAATTTATAATTACTATAAATAGACACGAGAAGGGAACTCGTGTATGTACTCGTGCTTGGATTCGTGGAAAAAAGCAGCAAAGCAAAGGCGTGTAATGTAATGGCGAGATCGCGTTGGAAATTGCTCTCTTCTTCTTCATCAATTTCCTCTCTCTAGTAATCTCACCGTTTCCTAACCCTAAACCACAGCCTCCGCCGCCTATCGCCGCCGCCGACGAAATAACTCCAAAAGGTTCAATTTCGATATTCCATTTATTGCAGTAATAACCGGCATTATAATATCGTTATAATGTGTGTGATTTTGTAGATTTTTTTCTTCATAAGGTGGAATTGATGATCGATTATGTTACGGAGACAAATTAACAATTTAGTATGCATGTTGATCTTGTAGATTGTTTAATTTATTTGCTTGGAGATTAAGTTTTTCGGTTTTTGTTTTTACTGTTGTTGCAGAAAATGGCTAATACAGAGGTGACAAAGCTATTGTATATAGTGGTAGGAGAGCCAGAGAAAGACTCTTTTAGATATACGCGTTCTGTTCTGCAGAGTACTCTTCAACTTATGGGATGTAAACCTCGACATGCCTTTAAGGTACTACTAATTATTTCTTCTCGTTTTTTGATGATTTATTATATGGATAACTCAATATTTGAAAAAAGTACCTAATTTTGGAAAAAAAGTGCCAGTTGTTATGATCCGATTTACTGTTGAACATGCTCATTGATAATTGTTGCTCAGTAATTGTGCATATGGTAAAAGCATAGTTGGAATGTTAACAGTTTTTTTCCCTCAATTCTGTGACTGCCAATAACTCACTGATCAGTTATGATTAGAAAGTTTGACGAAGAGGTATTTCTGGTTTATCTTCAAGATTGAAGTTTGACAGTTAGATTAATGAAGTTTGACAGTTAGATTAATGAAGTATGGCAGTTAGATTATGAAGTATGACTGTTAGATTAACGACCAACAATATTAAGCCGTTGTCTTCTTAAAGTTGAGTTTTTTCCTTAGCTAGATTAGTGAAGTATGACAGATTAACAACCGAATCTTTGTCGTCTTCGTAAAGTTGAAAGTATGACAGTTAGATTAACGACCGACAAGACTTTTTAGTCGTCTTCGAAAAGCTGATTTCTTTTTCCCTTTAGATTGTGTTGTGGTAGAGAAAAAAATTAATGCCCTTTTGTTTTAAGCTCACACGTAATGTGTTCCTGATTATATGCTTGAGGAAGTTTTATTTTAAACTTTTTTCTATTTGCTTAAAGAGACAATGAGTCTCATGTAAGATTCTTCTTTTAAGGATTGGCAAGAATGAAAGTCTTAACCCTGCTGATGAGAGTATCCCTCATAAGATTCCAAAAGTCCATTATCATCTGTTCTTTAGATGATCTTTTGCATTTGTGACTTCCAATTTCGCTTAAAGCATATTAAATTTAGGCACTTCTATTACTGAATCTTATTTTGCATGAACAGATTAGCAGGACAGTTTTTGATAAGATGAGAAGTGAATGCATGGGCGATAAGTTGGTATCAGCAGATAGAGTGCAGGCGGGACAGGATAACTTGAAAGGCCTTCATCATAAAGAGTCTAGTGCCTTTATTGATGCATTCTTGGATAAAGGGGACAATCGAAGTGAGAGTAAACCATTTGAGTTGTACAAAAGGCGCACAACAGTGGTTGTCAAGAGAAAAACGTTTTTAGATGTTGTTTGTGATGCTCTAACCGAATACAAGTATATGGGCCCCAACCAGAGGGCTGACTTAATTTTAGCTTGCAGGTAAGTTCCTGNTAGTTTTGTAGCCCAGTTACCAATTAACTGCAAGTTCTGGGCTTCAAATCCTCCTTATCCCCTAAAAAATATAGTGATGTCTTAAATAGTATGCAACCGTTTAAAAACGCAAAAAAGATCTTTTCTCAGATGGTGATCATTCTTTGGCCTAACTAAAAAGAATATTTGCAGATTTTCTAAGGTGTTAGATAAGCAAAGTAAAAGTTTCCTTTTTGATGGTGTATATATTTGAATGGGTGACTGATATGATATTTCTGTTTTCCCATTAGCGGGCACCATGATGTATTTATTGGTTAATTTAACAAGTATGAGATGAGTCTGCCATTCTCATCAGAGGTCACTGATAGGCTTTGCTAGTAATTTTCTCATCTCCTCTAAATGAATTGATGTCTGAATTAGTAAAAATGTCACTGAAATGCAGGTTTTTACTGTCTATGAAATTGCATTAAGATCTATTTCCTTGGTAGAAATACATCCTTCATTTACAAATTGTGGGAGTAATCGTTGCCTTTGGAGGTTTCCTGAATCACTTTTTAATCACAATTCAATCAGCGTACTTGTGGATTGTGTTAATCAAGTTTATTCCTTAGTATTTTAAACTAATGTTTCTCTGGCGCCAATGTCATTTGTTTTTATTTTTTCTGTTTCATGTATCTGTGGTTATTTATATTTTAGTGTCACTTGTTAAATTAGGGGAATAATGGCCCTATCCATTTGTTGTTGATTGATATAGGAAGCTGATGATGTGCACATGTGCTGATATTTTTCTTCAGTGTACCTTGTTCTGTATTTTCTTCACAAATTCGTTTGGTATGTTTCAGGATCCGAGAGAGAAAAGAATCTGTAACCGTGCTATTGTGTGGGACTAGTGGCTGTGGCAAATCTACCTTGTCTGCTTTGCTGGTATAGATTCTCTCATAGCCTTAGCTGATGTACTAACCTCCTAATTTTGGCATGTCATTTACTCCCTGGGTCCCATTTATGTGACTCAATTTGAATTGATACATTGATATTGATCTGACTTATGTATTATAGTAGTGGTAATGGAAGAAAATATTTAAGTAATAGTGGACTTTTTAGTTTAATAAGGAAAATATCATATCAAAGGATCAAAATTTGATTTAGTTTAAATGAATTTGAATTCTTGAAATTTGTGAAAGCTTGATAAAATAAGTACATATCTTTGGTGGAATGATGTTAAAACATTATAATATCTCCTGAAATGGAAGATTGTCATATATACTGGGACATGAGGTGTGTATGATTTCCTTCTCGAATCCTGTTTACAGGGAAGCAGGTTGGGCATAACAACTGTTGTGTCCACCGACTCCATTCGACATATGATGAGGAGTTTTGTAGATGAAAAGCAAAACCCTTTGCTTTGGGCCTCAACCTACCATGCTGGGGAATATTTGGATCAAGTAGCTGTTTCTGAAGCAAAAGTGAAAAAAAGGGCAAAGAAGTTAGCTGGCATTTCAACCCCTCCAATACAAAAAGAAGGTGTAAATGGTCCGACTAATGGAAAATCTCCACCTGTTGGGATTTCAAGTGCTGTTGATTTGATTAGTGCCAGAGAAATGGCAGTTGAAGGATTTAAGGCACAGAGTGAGATGGTAATTGATAGTCTTGATAGGCTAATCACTGCCTGGGAAGAGCGGAAAGAATCAGTCGTCGTGGAGGGTGTTCATTTGAGCCTTAATTTTGTGGTAAGAATTAATTTTAAAGAATGTGTATTTCGCTTTTTATCTGGAGGAGTCTTTCCAGTGGTGATTAACTTGGTTCTAATGTTTTCTTTTACCTGCAGATGGGACTAATGAAGAAGCACCCCTCAGTCATACCTTTTATGGTTTACATTGCAAATGAGGAAAAACATTTAGAGAGGTTTGCAGTACGTGCAAAGTACATGACACTTGATCCTGCTAAAAACAAGTATGTTAAATATATTCGGAACATCCGGACAATACAGGAATATCTCTGTAACCGAGCTGACAAACATTTGGTGCCAAAGATTAACAACACCAATGTTGATAAGAGTGTAGCAGCCATTCATGCCACTGTATTCGGCTGCTTAAGGAGGCGTGAGACAGGAGAGCAATTGTATGATCCAATCACAAATACTGTTGCACTCATTGATGAGGAATACAGGAACCAGTGTGCTGCCAATTGTGTGAGCTCTAAGGGAATGTTTCAACTGATTCAAAGACAAGGTTCTTCTAGGCACTTGATGGCTCTTCTGAATAATGATGGATCAGTAGCAAAAGCTTGGCCAGTTTACACATTGGGCAATGATGGGAAGCCTAATATGGACCATTCCATTGCGAATGGAATAGGGACCCCTATGTATGGACCACTGCAGATTGGCAAGGCTGAACCTATTAATCTGCAATTTGGCCATTTCGGGATCAGTGTTTGGCCCAGTGATGTTGGTGGTACGAGTCATGCCAGTAGTGTTGATGAATCAAGAGGTGAGCTGACAGACAATGGCAGCAGGTACTATTCGTCTTGCTGCAGCTCACCAAGGTTTTCTGAAGGACATGCAAAGGAGGTATGCTTAGAAATCATGACGAGCTCTTATAAACTAGTGTAGTCTGTCTTGGCCTTTGGTTGATGAAATTTGGAGCTTGTATATATATATTTATATATATTTTATATTGTCCATTTAGTTCGAGTAGTTAGTTGATGCATTCACTTTTTTCACCCTAATTACAGCTCAAAGAGGATCAATCAGTGCATGGTAGCGATGAAGAGGTTGACGAACCACTTGAAAGAGACAGTGATGAGGATCTTAGTGATGATGGGTCCAAACAAGTTGACGATGAGGTATGTGGGAATGACATATATTTAATGTCATTAAGAAGCTGCTAGATATTGTTGGTAGCATGTTATTTCTAGATGGGAGGAGGTCTAAACCAATTAATAAGATCACACATTTTGGTTTGCTTAGTGAATATGCGACTATGTTCAGATCCTCTTTCTTGCTGAACCATCATGCCTTTCAGTTTCGTTTCCAAATATTGAATTTGAAGCACCCAGTATCAATTTTCAGGTAGCTCCTGGGAATTTTATTCTCTTTTGTTTCTTGTTTAATAGTCAACCTCTTTGTTGCTATGAACACAGGAAGGCTCAGTGGATGAGGAATCTACCAAATCAGACGAGGAGTACGATGATCTTGCCATGCAAGATATTGAAGAAGATGGTTATACGACTGATGTTAATGAAGAGCTACACAATAAGTTGGAGTTGAGTAATAAGGTCGTACCTGTTTCAGGGGAGCAGCTAACTGAAGGTATTGAGACGTATAGGAAGAGCATCGATCAGTCCTTCAGAAGTAAGAGTGCTATAATTTTGGAGCCACCTCTTGGGAGCTACACTTCTTTTCTCAAAGAGAAGAATGAGAAGAGAGTCCCGACTTCTGGAAACATTAGAATAAAGAAACGCTCTAACAGTATTCCAACCCTGGGAAAGCACGGGACGTTGATAAATGGCTCTACCTTCCCAGAAGAAGTGTCTAGGTAGCACCATAATTTTATTGTGTGGTTTTCTTTCATGCTCTTGATGTAGTTGCTTGTCACCTCCTTCATGGCCTCTTTTCTTTTCTCTTCGACTTTACTAGCATGTTTCTCTTTTGTTTTTAGCTTTGTGGTTAAACGTTTCGAAAGAGGTATCACCTCTGTGTATAGGAGTGCATCTGCATTAAATTATGCCAGAGAATGCCTGTTTATTGAGTGTGGTCTTCTTCCAAGGTCTTGATGCAGTTGAAGCCTCGCATCCCACCTCCCTCGTGGCTTCTTTGCTTTTCTCGTTGCTAGTTTTGTTCTATTTTTTGTGAACTTACGAAAGAAGTGCATCAGATAACCTCTTCTAGAGCGTTGGCATCTTTTACTCTTTAGTAATCTGAAATTGACATGTCATATAGAGTTTGGGATTTTACTGGGTCCGTTGTTGTTATTGCATATAGAGTTTGTGAAAGAATCAGTAACCGTAATAATGCATCTTCAAATTGGAAGGCAAGCAACCATTAATTAGCATCTCATATATGTACAGAGAGCAAAAGATATTACCTCTCTTTTCCATTTAGGCCTGTAGACTTTAAGTTTCCTGTACATTAGTGTACAATGACAAACCTGAAATAGTCTAAACGATTTTTTTGGGTTATCAGTTTATAATTGTTATAAATAGTTCATATGTTATTGTTAATCTTATCGCGTAAAGATATTATTTAAAACATCCGTGCATAGTCTAAACGATTTTTTGGGTTATCAGATCATAATTGTTATAAATAGTTCATATGTTATTGTTAATGTTATCGCGTAAAGATATTATTTAAAACATCCGCGCATATAACTTAAACTCATCAATTAACGTAAATTTGAAGTTTCTTTTATGACATGCCAAATGGTACTTACAACTCGGGAATTGTTAATCATGATTTTCCCCCAAAAATCACCACCCAGGCTATATTGAGCTGTGGTTTCGTGGGTTAGGCGTAGACTCCTGCCATATATATTAAAGGGAAATTGTCAGTTTTGTCCATTTATAAGTAGCTTATTACAAATTGGCCAATTAATAAAATATGCTAAATATTACTAATGTTAGCCAATTAGCTATTTGTAGCAAAAAAAAGGTAAAATTTTTGTTTTCTTTTGAGTGAGTGTTATTAGGATAGATTTGGTACATATAAGGAGCTTGAATCTCGATTTTGAGATGATTTAGTGGAGTTTTTAGGTGGTTTTAGCTGAAAATTCGAAGTAGAAGATGAACATTAAAAAAAGATGTGTATCACACTGTGTATCATTTGCATATCACATATATATCATATTTATATCACATGTATACCTGTGTGTGAGATACTTGTGTCACAAAAGAATTTTTTGAACTCGATTTTAACTACGAATTTTGTGGAGTTTTTAGGTGGTTTTAGTTGAAAATTCGAAGTAGAAAATGAACATTAAAAAAAGATGTGTATCACACTGTGTATCATTTGCATATCACATATATATCATATTTATATCACATGTATACCTGTGTGTGAGATACTTGTGTCACAAAAGAATTTTTTGAACTCGATTTTAACTACGAATTTTGTGGAGTTTTTAGGTGGTTTTAGTTGAAAATTCGAAGTAGAAAATGAACATTAAAAAAAGATGTGTATCACACTGTGTATCATTTGCATATCACATATATATCATATTTATATCACATGTATACCTGTGTGTGAGATACTTGTGTCACAAAAGAATTTTTTGAACTCGATTTTAACTACGAATTTTGTGGAGTTTTTAGGTGGTTTTAGTTGAAAATTCGAAGTAGAAAATGAACATTAAAAAAAGATGTGTATCACACTGTGTATCATTTGCATATCACATATATATCATATTTATATCACATGTATACCTGTGTGTGAGATACTTGTGTCACAAAAGAATTTTTTGAACTCGATTTTAACTACGAATTTTGATACCAAATAATTTCAAATCACCTCCAATCTTCCTCAAATTTTGTATATCGACTCATCTATATGTTTTCAATGAATTTTAACAATACCCATTGAAAAAGGTTCTTTTTTTGCTTAGATTATTAGAATCTTGTGTGTGTGTGTAATATATATATATATATATATATATATNATGTATATATATATGTATGTATGTATGTATGTATGTATGTATATGTATATGTATATGTATGTATATTCACACACAACAAAAATAACAACAACAAACCCAGTAGTTTCCCACAAGTCACTACTAAAAACAGCTGATTTTCGACTGAAAATTTCCGCCCTGAAAAATTAGTCGGAAAATTCGGACTAATTCGGTCAGAAATTTCAAAAATAATATTTGTTATATATATTTTTTAATTCTTTTGACTATTTTTCCTACAACATTGGTCGCAATGTTTGGCGCAAAAATTCGGGATAAAAAATGGCTCACCACTGATTGCATCCCCGAACCATCATAGTAGCCAGCATTGTGGTTCATCTTTTGTGCCTCATACATCGCCAACTCAATTATCATCTCCATCATCATCCACTCAAAGTATATCTAACTTGGATATTAGAGGCTCTCACGCAGCTGCATCCCCATCTACCAGTACTTCTATAGTTGCTGGTACTATGAGACAATGTACTGGAGGGACTGTACAGTACGATCATCTTCATCGGCTGATTATCGTTCCCCATAGAGAAATGTGAGTTTTCCTTCAATTTCATTTTAAAAGCTTTCAATAAAATTTTGCATATAATAAATTTAATGACATTTTATATGTTAAATTAAATGCAGGTTTTTGCCATCCTTTCAGGTCGCGCATGTGATGATGGAATATATGAAGCCATTTTTTATGAGCCATGAAATTCCTGTAGATAGATACCGTACGAGATCAGAATTAATATATGGCAATAATTTAAGGTAAGAATAAATTAATTTTTATTAATACTTATCATCATTCGTCTAATATTATTTATTAAATTTTGCAGGTTAGGTGCGTATGGCAGCCTACACTTGAAAATCTGGTGAATGAGAACTTCGAGAAGAGAGCACAAAAGCGGATAACAGATTCACATTATGTTGCTAGGAGAGGTGGCACCAAGCCTGATTGGATACATGAAGATATTTGCAGTCAGCTCTTGGTGAAGTGGAACACTCCTGAGTTAAAGAAGAAGAGTGAACATGCAAAGTTAAACAGAGCTTCTACTAAGGGTGGAGCTTTCATGACCCAAGTTCTCCCTCCGTGAACTATCGTGACGGCACATAGTCTCTACGACTAGGTAAGCCTAACCATTTGCGGAAAAAGGAATTTAAAAGTACAACTAGCCATCCAACAGGTAAATATAGATAAAGTATTTAAAATGCCGCTCGACATATACAATAATAACACTCTCGACCAATAGCAACACTCCCAAAATCCTAAATCTCATGAATCACAAACTAGAGGAAATACATAGTGTTCTAACTCCAGAAGTCTAAACAAAAGTAATTATAGAAGGTCTATAGCTAAAAGGAAGAATAGAGAGGGACTTCTCGGTCTGCGGACGCGGCAGATATACCTCAAACTCTCAGAAAATCGCCTCGCCTCACTGGTGGTATGGCTGAGCAGAAGAACCTGGATCTGCACACAAAAAACATGTGCAGGAAGGGCATGAGTACACCATAGCGGTACCCAGTAAGTGCCAAGCCTAACTTCGGTCAGGTAGTGACGGGGAATGTCAGGGACCTACTGGTTATATATATATATATATATATATATATATATATATATATATATATATATATATATATAGCCAGATAAAACAGTATAAAATGTGACAGTATAATTAAAATACAAATAGTCGATAAAGAAGGAAGTCACAGAGAGAAACAACTCAGAACATAGAGATAGCAACAAGGGATCTCCCAGGATATAGTCCCGTAGTCCCAAACGTAGATGTGCAGAGGATCTCCCGGATATTGTCCCATAGTCTGAATCATAATAAAGGAAAATCTCCCGGAACACCTATCCATAGTCCCAAAGTAAATACTCTGTACAGGGGGATCTCCCGGGATATCGTCCCGGAGTCCCAATTGTAAAGTGTAGGGGGATCTCCAGAATACCAATTCATAGTCCCAAAGTAAACACACAATTTTCTTAAGAAAGAAATCTACAGTTCTATTCGAGAATAAACAGGAATTTCTACTCTAAATATGTTGTACGAAATCCAAGCAAGCAGTTAAAGCAGATACGCCAGTTAAGTCATATAATCATGATTTTCTAAGCTAAATATGAAACTTCAAGTACAAGTATTGCTCAATTAAAAGAAAACACAGATATTTACTTAATGAAAATGGGATTTTTCAACAATTAGCACGTGTACGCACTCGTCACCTCACGTACACGACACTCATATAACAACAATACCAAAATCCTAAGGGGAGTTTCCCCAACACAAGGTTAGGCAAGCCACTTACCTCGAACCAGCACAAAATCAATCTGAAATATTCACGCTCTTGCCACGAGTATCCAACTCCGAGTGGCCCAAATCTAATAAAATCAATATCATAACGTAAATACAACTACAAACAACTAATTTAGCTAAAGAAATCGAAGCTAAGGCAAGAAAATACAAGAACGCTCCTCCTCGGGCCCACGTCTAGGAATCGGGTAAAAGTCACAAATTATGAGCACACATTCACTCATGAGTCTAACCATACCAATTTCACTCATATCCAATACGAAAATCTTGAACAAAATCCTTAAATTAGGCCTAAGGACTTTTCTCAATTTTTAATTTTTCCCAAATTTTTACCCCAATCCGAAATAGATGATGAATTCATGATTAGATTAATGAGTTATAACAAAAAAAGGAGTTAAGAATCATTACCCAGAAACTTCCTCCGAAAATCTCTCCAAATTTTGCCTCCTACCGAGCTCTCAATCCAATTTTTGAGTTATGAACTCAACCCTCGATTTTGGAATTTAAATTCTGCCCAGGTGCGTTCTTCTTCGCGAACGCAAGACCACCATCGCAAACACGATGCACAAAATCCCACTGACCAAATTTCCTCTTTCGGGAACGCGAGGGTCCACTCACGAACGCGTAGCTTGCACTGACAGACCCTTCGCGAACGCATAGGCTAAAGGGTCCACACCTTCGTGAATGCGGGAGCACCATCGCGAACGCGAAGCACAACTCAGCTGCCTCTCCCAGATGCTCTTTGCGAACGTGAGACCCCTCTCGCAAACGCGAAGAAGGATTGCTCTGCAACAACACCAGAAAAAATTTGCCACTTCTTTAAGTCCAAAAAGACACGTTGAGCATCCGAAATACACCCGAGGCCCCGGGACCTCAACCAAACTTACCAACCAATCCTAAAATACCATACAAACTTAG